AACGTTATAAGTGAGACTAAATAACTGAGTAAACATATTCTATGGTATCACATGAGCTTAGCAGTTTATCTGCAGTTATCGGGACTATAATGCTGTGATTAGTAGTAATAGCTCTAATTTCACACAGAAGGCCAAGTGGTAGAAAGTCAGAGTTGCCTTAATAGGAGGATGTGAAAAAAAAAAAGCAGACTTCTCAACTGACCTCACAGAACAAGGGGCCACATTTGTGCCAGTCCCCTCAGACACTGGGAGGCAGCTTGGAAAAGAGCAACAGATGACATTTCTAGAACTGTGTCCTGCTGATTGCTCCCCGGAAGCAGTTTCTCTCAGTCTCCGCTTCTACTGTATTTATGTTCATTAATAATCTCTGTCATTCTGTGACTGTTCACTCAAAGGTCCTATCTGCTTATTTTGATTGTAATGACACAGAAAAAGTAGAAGGGAAGAGAGCGAAGTCCCCATGCAAGCGCCCTCCCCAATATTTTCCTCTTCATCAAAAGGCGTTAAAGCTACTGACCTTCTGCACAGAAAGACAAAGCTCTACTGTCAGATCATGGATAAGAATCAAACTAAAATGTGCCAGAGACAAAAGAGCAAAAAGTGATCCCAGAATATCAGGTTGGCTTTGGTGGAGTGAGATATCCCTGAGGTCACGAAGGTGCAGGATATCTTCATAGCTGTGGCCAATGTACCCTGCTAATATCAATAACAGGAAATGTTGGACACCGAGTGTATGAGAACCCTCCCTCATGCTGCATTTATGCTTTCTCTCTAAGTCTAAAAGTACTCTAAACTAAACGGTACATTTAAACATATCAGCCATTACATTAAAAATGGATAATCTGAAGAAAAATAAACCTTTTTTCTTTATAGAACTAGAAAAAAGTCCTAAAAATTGTCTGAAAGCATAAGATTCTCAACAGACACCACAACCCTTAGCAAACTCAGCAATGCTGGAGGGACCCGGATGACTATAACAACAATGTGTTGCAGACTCTAGCAACCACAGAGCATGGTACTGGCACAAAGGCAGTACAGACGGACAGAGCAGAGGACCCACATATCAACCCACGTAGTTCAGCTGCCTCCTTTTGATGAAGGTGTCGAAACACACCCTGGAGGAAAGACAATCTCTTTAACAAATTCTGCTGGGAATGTGGAGAAGAATGAAACTAGGCCCTTATCTCTTACCCAGCACAAAAATCTATTCAAAGAAGATAAAAGACCTTAATTTCAGAATCTGAAACACTAAAAATGCTAGAGGAAAATGTTTGAGATACAGGCCTAGGCACTTTCTGAACAAAACACCAACAGCATAGGAACTAATGTCAGGAATTAACAAATGGGGTCACGTGAAATTCAAAAGCTTCTGTACAGCAAAGAAAACACCACCAGAGTAAAACACAGGCTACAGAATTTGAAAAAAAAAAAAAATGTTTGTCAACTGGATGCCAGAAAGGGAATTAATATTTAAGGTATAATAAAGAACTGTAAAAATCAAAACAACCCACAAAATAAAGACAACAACAACAAATCCTTCACCTCACCCCGTCAACAAATGAGCTAATGAACTGGATATCTCAAAAGAAAAAGTACAAAGAGACAAGTTAGTACTTGCAGAAAAAAAAAATTTCAATGTCCTTACCAATAAGCTAAATGCAAATTAAAACTGTGAGATTATATCTCAGCCCAGCCAGAACAACTAATATCAAGAAGACAAATGCTTTTTGGGAGAGAAATCCTTGTCCACTGCTGATCAGAATGTAAATTTATACAACCACTATGGAAATCAGCATGGAGGCTCCTTAAAATCCTGAAGCCGGTACATTTCATGACAGCAGCCCAAATGGACAGTGGCAACCAGTGACTAGGACTAAAGGGACACTGACAACCAACTACAAAGAAACAGGAGGAGGCCTCCCAGGTGAGCCATTGCCATCATGAATGTGGATATGACCCACATGTCTTGTTACACTTCGTTTTCCTCTATTTGTGCCCTCCACAGCCCTCCCTTGTTTGTGAAGACTAACCAAAGCAAGGGACCAAAAAAGCTTGACTGTATATAAATTATACCTGGGTAATCTATACTTTACAAAGTAAAACTGAGTGTCTTCTATATTTATATTACTTCTCTTTTTCATTTAAAACCAGAGCACAAATAAGCCACAGAATCATACTTTCATGATGATGGAGCAGATCTCCATCTGAGTATACTGTAACTCATTTGAACCTCGTCTTATTATTGGACACCATTTCCTGTTCTCATACAGTCTTCAATGAACCTCTGTGTACGCTGATTCAGTCTTTCATCTCCTTTATTGAACTGGAACAAAATCTAGGGGTGAAAATACTGAGCCGAGCTTATGAGAAGGTGATTATGGTCTGGATATTTACTGTTAACTTCCTTCTTCTCAAAAAGTGGAAACAGCCTATCATCAGAAGTGTGAATCTGTGACAGGAAGCTTAACTCTGCCTTATTTGGATATGAAATCTTAATAGTGCAAAGTATTCTAAATATTTGAGAGAGACAGTATCATAACTCATATCTGTGCACCAACATAAGGCCTGTGGAAGTGATCTGGGTTACTGGGGAATGGAGCAAGCCCAGGAAAGAGTTTTATGAGTTTCAGGGGTTTCACAGCCACAGTGAAAGCTTTCTTAAAAGGCACTTTTCCTCTAAAATGAAGATTATTTTCCATTGTAACCCATTACTTTGCATAATGAAGGTCAATTAGCAGAATAATCCACTCAAGCCCCATTTATATTTCTAGTTTTGGGAGCAATAATTTAGTTTGGCTAAGATGCCCCTCCTTTTTAATAATCAAAAAAGAATATTGGAATTTTCACCAAGAAAAATCATTCACTGTTACAAATGTTCCATTAGCAGAAGAGCCACAGCTTTGTATAGTCCCCCACATGTTGGTCTCTTTATAATAAGGACACACTCTGTGCTACTTGAGGATTCTTTTAACAGTTGAAACAGATCAACTTTCCTCATTAATTTTCTATTAGTGTTCACAAGTTAGCCCTGTTATAACTAAAATAAACACTTTTCTTACCTAATATTTTAATTAGAAAGTGGCCAAAAGAGAAAAAGAGCCAAAGCTTGACAATGTTAAGTTTGGTTTCACCAGCACAGAAAAGAAATAACTGTCTGAACCTGGGTCATGTGACTCCAGTATCCTTGCTTCCCATCACTGACTTGGAAGGTGAACACCATGAGCAGCTCTGTCTGAAGCCCTCTTGGCTGTGCTACTCCTGTAGGCAAGGACTGTGATTGTGCAGATCCATACAGAACTTTAACTCCCAGCATTCACTTCAGGGTGGAGGCCCACTTGGTCTGCCCAAACCTTTGGCTGAGCTGGTTGGCAGCTGAGCCTCAGGTGAGCTCAGGTTTCAGCCCTGCCCTCCCCAGGCTCCTCTACCCTGTCTTGCTGCCTGCTCTGTCTTGGCAGAGGTAACATATTTGACTGTACCTATCTGGTTTCTCCCTAGAATGCTCAAATCTGTGGAATGAATCAAAATCATACCAATAAAAATTCTATTCCAAATGATCATGAATATTCCAGTACACTTTCCAGGATAATAACTTCTGAGAGAAAAGAAATATGCATGGGACTTTTAAACAAAATATACTGTGTCAGTTTCTAATTTTCTTATATTTCTATTATTTAAGAAGTGCCTTTAAAGGAAAATGCCACATTTTGAATAGTCAGAAAAATAATTATCACATCGCTCCACTGTGATCCCATCCCTATCTCCCTCTGTCTCCTTTTCTTACATGTATAGAGTCTCATAGAGTATTGGAGGACGCACCACCAAAGCACCTAACCAAGATGTCACCACCAACACTCTGATGATGGACAGGTTCTTTCAGATTTGGAACAAAGCCAAGGCTGTCGTTTAGAGCCTGTAATGCCCTTGCAGGGCACGGCCGTTCTGCTATTGTTGAGATAAGTGCCTTCTTTCAAGGACTTGGCTGGCCAGGCATCTTTAATAAGGGCAGTGTGAAGCCAAACTAAAGGCAAGGTGTTCTTTCAGCCCACTCTGCAGTGCCAGCATCTAGTAGTCTCTTACTTCTCCTCCCCCACAGCAACTGTCTAAGAATCCTGCCTTAGGTCTGATTGCTACCAACTGTGGAATTATAAGACTTGCTAAGCCATTCCAGGAAACTGGGTCAGCAGAAAACACTGGACGTCATGGAGATTATCTCTAGAATATGACAGTGGCTGGTTTAACTTGCTTACAGAGGCTGCTCAAAGTCACCCCTTTCAGGGTCCTGAAAGGCTACACTTTAATTGGAATAAAGAGCCATAAACCATCAGAGTCCATGTGTGATTATGGCACTCATCCCTGGAAGCAGCATTCACTACCCAAACCTATGAGAGTACAAAGTTAGACTCTCAAGCAACCATCCAGTTCCACACTACACTCAAAGATGTACAGACAGTCTGCTGCCCCTAGGCTTAGGCAGCTACCCAATTAATTTGCCCTTTGACCACATACTTCAGGGAAAAGCCACTCGGCATTGCCAAATCCTCCGGGCATTTTGATGGAATTCTTACTTGCTGGGTTTTGTTTTTAATATACTGCTCAGGAGAGGACTAGATTTGGGGTAAAAATTACAAGCATGATTTACCAAAATAATAGATACATCTATTACCCTTATCCTTGGGCCTTAGATTCCACCTTAGTCACAATTAGAGAAAAGAGGCCAGTGAAATGGCTCAGCACATAAACTTTTGCCACGTAAAACTGACAATCTGAGTTAAATCACCAGAACCCACATAAATGAACCCTAAGGTTTTCTTCTGTGATACTTTGAAAAGAGAAAGGCTCCTCCCACCCTAAAGGACATATATGAAAAAAACTCTAATTTTTTCTCTACTTGCTTTCACTCTTGCTGTCAATTTCGCCTATTTTGTTGCAGCAGCCCTCCTCCACTCTTATTAAACACAGCTTCTTTGATCTAACAGCGTAGACTGAAGATCAGAAACTCCTCAGGAATCCTTCAGGCCTTCAGCAACCAAACTGGAACTGCTGACGCTGTTGGCCTTCCTGCTCATATGGGGAGGAGTCCTGGGACTCAGGATCCTAGGAACCACACCGCTCTGAGAAGGGGAGGTATCCCAGTGGAAGTGCATCCTGAGACACGGGGAACAGGAATCACACAGCTCTGAGATGTAACTGTGGCCCAAGGAAAGGGTATCCTGAGAACACAGGAGCCCAGTAAGCCTCCTTAGCAGAGGTGTTGCAGCTCCCAGCGAAGGGTATCTCCAGCAGAGCTGAGGAGCTTAGGAGCCTCAACCCTGCTCCACTTCCTCAATTCTTCCCTTCCTCTCTTCATTGCTTTTGGGCTTCTTCCAATGAGAGACTCACACCAGGCAACAAAGCTTATAAAAGGGGTTTATTGGAAGGTCCAGGTAGTGGAGGATCTAACCCAGGAGTGGAGGGACAAACCCAGGAATAGAGGGACAAATCAAGGGTGGCTGCTTCTGCTCCTAGGAAAAGGCTCCAGAGAGCTGCGCAGACACAGCCATTGTATTTATACAGAGTTTCTTAGAGTGTGGAACTTTCTAGAGCAGAGATTTCCAGGGTAAGGACTGGTGCGATTTCAAGTCCTGAGCTTGGGGGAGCTTAAGGATTGGTGGGTTTTCCTGCTCTGGGATTGGTGTGGTTTTATTCAGACTTTTCACCTAAAATTAGCAAAATCCCGTTGAGGGGCTGGAGATCACTTCTGTGACAGTTACACAGGCTGGAAATGCCAGTATGGCAGCTCAAGAGGGGTAGAGGAGGGGCCTGTAGACTCATGCCTCAAAGGGTTTACACAGACTAAACAAAACTGAGCTAAACCAAACAACTTTCCTCAACTGAACCGTGAACTTAGACTGAGGGGACATGTTCCTGGTCCAGGTCCCTGGCTGGCAGTGCCGAACCATGTAAAGCTTCCTGCCTAGGGGGGAATGGTTAGTTTATACATCGCTGTCCCAGAGATGGCTCTGAAGCTCACAGACTAGCTCCAACTGGGAGCCTCCCCGAGTTCCCTGTCAGCAGCAGCTGCAATGGAGGCTTCAGGAGCTGCCACGGTCTCTGCGGCTTCAGCTTCTCAGTTTCTCTTCCTACTCCAGTTTGGATTGTATTGTCCTAGAGTAGACTGTTCTAGAAATTATTCAACTTTCTCTAAAAATGTTAAAGAGATGGGTGGAAAATCTTGGGTAGTGAAGCCTGGCTTCAGATCCCAGCTCTGCTGTTACGTATGTGATACCCAAGCATGGTTTTTAAACCACATATTAAATTTGAATAATACCCAGCTGTTATCTTACTGGGGTTTTTGTTTGGTTGGTTGGTTGGTTTGGTTTTGCTTTGATGAAACACTGTGGCGAAAAGCCAGTCAGGAAGTTATTTTTCTTATAGTACAAATAACCGTTCATCTCTGAGAGAGAAGCCAGGCCAGAAATTCAAACAGGTCAGGAACCTGGAGGCAGTTTTGCCTCCAGAGGCCATGGAGACCATAAAGAAGTGTTGCTCACGCGCTTGTTCCCTGCGGTTTGTTCAGCTTGCTTTCTTATAGAACCTAGGACCACTACCATGGGCTGGCCCAACCCACAGTGGGATGGGCCCTTCTCCATAGCTCTCTAATTAAGAAAATGCCCTACAGGTTTGCCTACAGCCAGATCTTGTAGAGGCATTTTCTCAGTTGTGGTTCTCTTCTCTCAGATGCCTCTAGCTTGTGTCAAGTTGACATAAAAACTGGCCAGCACAACTGATCCCTAATCAACTTGCTATACAAATATATCATTGCTATGCCATAACTTTTCATTTCTTGTTCATCCCAAGATCACATATTAATCACAATATAAAACATTCTGAATTTCAAAAGTCCCAAAATCTCTTTAAAATAGTCAAAATGTATCAACTGTAGGGTCCTGTAAAATAAAAAATAATTACTTTCTTACTTCAAGAGAGATGAACCAGGACACACAATCTTGACAAAAAAAACAAAACTAAACTCCAACAACATAAATAACTGAAAAGCAACAAACCAAGTAATCCAATTAAAAAATGGGGAACAGAGCTTAACAGAGAATTCTCTGTAGAGGAATATTGAATGGCAGAGAAACACTTAAAGAAATGCTCAACCTCATTAGCCATCAGAGAAATGCAAATCAAAACGACCCTGAGATTTCATCTTACAACCATCAGAATAGCCAAGATAAAAAACTCAAGTGACAACACATGCTGGAGAGGTTGTGGAGAAAGGGGAACCCTCCTCCACCGCTGGTGGGAATGTCAACTTGTACAACCACTCTGGAAAGCAATCTGGCACTTTCTCAGACAACTAGGAATAGGGCTTCCTCAAGATCCAGCAATACCACTCCTAGGCATATATCCAAAAGAGGCTAAAGTACACAATAAGGATATTTGCTCAACCATGTTTGTAGCAGCTTTATTTGTAATAGCCAGAAGCTGGAAACAGCCCAGATGCCCCTCAACTGAAGAATGGATGCAGAAATTGTGGTACATCTACACAATGGAATATTACTCAGCAATAAAAAATAAAGAAATCATGAAATTTGCAGGTAAATGGTGGGACCTGGAAAGGATCTTCCTGAGTGAGCTGTCCCAGAAGCAGAAAGACACACACAGTATATACTCATTCATATAGACATATAATATAGGATAAACCTACTAAAATCTGTACATCTAAAGAAACTAATCAAGAGGGAGGACCCTGACTAAAATACTCAATCCCTATCCCGAAAGGCAAAGAGGATGGACATCAGAAGAAGAAGAAGAAAACAGGAAACAAGCTAGGAACCTGCCACAGAGGGCCTCTGAAAGGCTCTGCCCTGCAGACTATCAAAGCAGATGCTGAAACTTATAGCCAACTGTTGGGCAGAGTGCATGGAATCTGATGAAAGAAGTGGGAAATAGTAAGATCTGGAGGGAACAGGAACTCCACAAGGAGAGCAACAGAACCAGAAAATCTGAGCACAGGGGTCTTCCCAGAGACTCATACTCCAACCAAGTACCATGAATGGAAATAACCTAGAACCCCTGCACAGATGTAGCCCATGACAGTTCAGTGTCCAAGTGGGTTCCACAGTAATAGGAAGAGGCACTGCCTCTGACATAATCTGATTGGCCTGCTCTTTGATCACCTCCCCCTGAGGGGGGAGCAGCCTTAGCAGGCCACAGAAGATGACAATGAAGCCACTCCTGATGAGATCTGATAGACTAAGATCAGAAGGAAGGAGAGGGGGACCTCCTCTATAAGTGGACTTGGGGAAGGGCATGTGTGAAGAAGGGGGAGGGAAGGTGGGATTAAGAGGGGAGGAGGAAGGGGTTTATGGGGGGATACAAAGTGAATAAAGTGTAATTAATAAAAGTTAAAAAAAAAAGAAAGAAAATGCCCTGTAGGTCTGTCTACAGCTAGATCTTATGGAGTCATTTTCTCAGTTGTGTTCCCTCCCTCCTCTCATGATCATCCTGACTTGCAAGGAGTTGACATAAAAATTAGCCAGCACACTAGCTTAACAATGTTTTGCTTAACATGTGGTAGATATGTTGGCTCTATCTTGATTATACTACTTTTCACAGGCCAAAATGTCAGCCTGTTCAAAATAAATGTTCCACATGCATACCTGTGCTTCAGAATTTATTTCAGGAAGCTTTCAAGTCTTCCAGAAACTTTTTGTTATTTTTATCTCCCATGCCTGATACATGCTAGAGTTTTACTTCTAAGAAAAAGAAGCAACGTGGGCATGTTGGTGCTTGTAATCCTAACACTCAGGAGGTGAAGATCCACAGTCAAGGCCATCATGGCTACATAGCAAGTCTAAGGCCAGCCTGGGTTACATGAGACTGCCTCAAAAGTCAGGTGGGGGCAGGCACAGGTATCTACAGTAGTACCTGGCACATGGTGTGATTTAAATAAACATTAGTTTGTTTCTCCTTATGGATTTCCAATCATTTGATTATCACTTCTGCTGAGTTTTGGCCATCATCATTCCTCACAAATCCACAACATTTTTTTTTCTAGCAATTCCAGTGATTTTTTTAAAATCCATTCTCCAATACCAGTTGACTCTCCTTGACATTTTATGAACTGCAGATTTTCTTTTTTGCTTTCAACACCTGCCAATATAAAAATTTCAAGTGAGCAAACTGAGACTGTAAGACTATCCTTTTTAAACATTTACTACTAATAAAATCTGATATGCACTAATTGAAGCTAATCAGGTCCCATGTGACATGCGTCACTTCATTTAATTCTCACAGGGGCTCTATGAAGTAGATACTATGTTGTGCCTGTTTTTACAGCTGAATAAACTAAGGAATGGAGAGGGTAAGCTTCTTGTCAGAAGATCAGCAAGGAGGAAAGGAAGGAAAATTTGGAAGCTAGGTAGCTCTCTGCATCCTTCTTAACCAATGCATCACACTGTGTCTTGCTGAGACATAGAGATAACAATGACGAACTTGAGTTGCAAGTATACTCTGTAAACGGAGACAACAAAGCCTTCAGTTGCTCTATTCAATCACATAGTACTGAGTCAATCAATGGCTTACTTGGTAAGGTTTTGTTCTGTGTGTGTGTGTGTGTGTGTGTGTGTGTGTATGTGTGCTGCCATTGCTGTTACACAAATGGAAACAACACACAGTGATTTTTATAAGTTTGGAAGGTGATGCTCCAAGTTTCTATGAACTCCATACACTTGGTTCATTTTCTCAGTACCACTGAGCAGCAAGCACATGGCAGCAACATTGTGTGATGCAAAGATTAGAGATGAGTCTGCCTCTAAGAAATTTACCCTAGGGTTTCTATTGTTGCAACAAAACACCATGATCGAAAAAAAAGTTGGAGAGAAAGGGTTTATTTGGCTTACACTTCCAGACCATAGTCCACCATCAGAGAAAGACAGGACAGAAACTTAAACAAGGCTGGAACCTGGAGGCAGGAGATGGTGCAGAGGCCATGGTGGGGTGCTGCTTACTGGCTTGCTCCTCATGGCTTGCTCTGCCTGCTTATAGAACCCTGCATCACCAGCCCAGGGATGGCATGACCCACAATGATCTGGGTCCTCCCCCATTGATCACTAAGAGAGAAAATACCTTACAGGTGGATCTCATGGAGGCACATCCTCAAATGAGGCTCCTTCTTCTCGGATGACCTTAGCTTGTGTCAAGTTGACACACAAGCCTAGGCAGT